GTTGTTTGTGTGTGTGTGTGTGTGTGTGTGTGTGTGTGTGTGTCTTTGTCTGTGCGTGTATTCGATAGTTTCTTAGCATTAATAAATACTTTCTGTAGAAATTTTTTTTCCAATTAATCACAAAAAAGAACGATGAAATAAATGGGTAAAGAATGATCTTTGAGCATATTTGAACATTTTCCGCCATTCTGTTTGGTTGAAGAAATGATTTGTAATTTTAAGCGCATTTGAACATTTTCCGCCATTCTGTTTGGTTGAAGAAATGATTTGTAATTTTGAAAATATTGCATATCTTTCCAAAGAATCATTTTATATCATTTAAAAATTTCGCATAATTTTTTAATCTTTCAAAATAGTGAATTTTATTGTGTTCAATTTAATCAATTTAGTACTAATAAGTCATATTTCAATCAGATATTTGTATCATTTCTGATTAATTACAAAAAAAAAGAAAAGGAAAGGAAAAGAAATATCCACAGGTACTTGTATTAGTGATATTGGATTGTTTGAAATGATAGCACAAGACGGAAGCTATAATTTAAATTTCATTCCTAGTAATGGAAAGAAAGCAGTAATTGATGGTTTAGGATAATTTATTACTTTTTTATTTCTAAATTTTTAAAACAAATTTAAAAATTTAAAATGAAATGTGCAAATCAATATTTCTTTTTTTCTTGTCATATTATTTATGCAAATTTAATTTTCAATTTATAATCTGGAAATTTGTTTGACAAGAAGTCTTTCCATTTTTTTTATTTCCTCTTTTTTTTAAATGCTCTTTCAAATATAATTCTTTTGCCTGAAATTATTATAATGCGAAACTTTTTTCATTGCTAAAATAGACTTCCTTATTATTTGTGCAGTTTCCATTTTTCTCTTTTCTTTTTTTTTGGTCTAAAGTTTTCCCATCTATACCTGATTTGAATCTGAAAATTGTCTTTAAATATTTGATGAAGCATACAAATTGTTGATTTCATGAAAATTAAATTTATCGCTTTCAAAGAGAATATATCATAAATATGATAAGATTTGGTGATAATAATGGTTTATGTTGTTCTTATCAGTATAGTTACAATCACTTTAATGTTTGTTTTAAGTAGGCATTGTTGTAGAAATGAAATAATTCGTAAGGATGAAGAATATGTTGATGTAAGAATTGGAAGTTGAGCAGGTGACAGGCTAAATGTCGAGATCAGTCTTTGACCAATTATGGATGATAAAATGGAACATGCTGAATTTTAGCAAAAATTAACTATATCGAAGTAATGTAAGGAAAGATGTTAAGTTCGGATTAATCCGGATCAAAAACTGATGGATCCAGACAGTACTGGCATAGATTACCTAAGTGAATTCAGGTAGATTAGTGTAGAAATTAGGTAAGCATATAAGCATCAACTTATGCTATCAGAGTTTTTAACACAGGAAATTCACTGTCCTGTATGCTACGAAATTTGCAATATTTTAATAACTGATTGATGACAGAATACGGAATTCGAAATTAATGGAAGGTGAGAAAATATGATATGACATAAACTAGCAGCCTATTTTTAATAATAAGATTTTGCTGATAGTTAGCAATTGGTGATAAGACAACTTTAGTGATAGTTAGTAACTAGT